GGCGGTTGCAGTTTTGGGTCTTAGCATTCAAAAGGGGTCAAACAGAGGGGTGTCTGGTTCCGATAAAAATTTTGGGTGACGGCGCAGCAATGACGGCGCGGGATGACGGCGGGGGTAATGGCGCGGGTGACGGTGCAGACTGTCAGACACGTTAATCAACAGTCCATACCGAACCAACCGTCAGTAGCCATCAAACACATACAAACATATTACGCACATAACTTTCATACTACACACAAACAAATAACCTAAACCAATAGAACACAAAAAAACCCGGAGGTTTGAAATCTACGATTTCCCTTGTTCAATTTGTTCTTGTTTTGTTCTTCCTGTCAGATCAGTGTGGATGAACTTACCTGGTAACGTCCTGCTGGATGCTGTGGTGGTTTTTGCTGGTCTGGTCTTGTTTGCTTTCTATAATGGTGAGTACTGTTACATTTTTTTTTGTATTCAGCAAGTTTTGTGGCATCGAATGGCTTAGTGGCTAGGTGAGCAGAAACGAGATCAGGACTCATGGTCACGGGTTCGATTCCCTGCATTCCTGGCTAGACATTTGTTGGCAGACATTTGCACCATTTAAAGTTGAGTTTTGCAATGGGGACACAACATGTATTACTGACCAAAAGTATTTTTTCTGTGTTCTTGCCTCTCCATCACAACAAGGCTGAGGCAATAAAAATCATTGCCAAGGCAACGACTGACGGAATATATGGCCTTTACCATCATTCCATCAAAATAGGAATATCGCTAAGGCCACACCAAGTAAATTTTATGGATGACGTCCGCGCGCGCATTGATTTTGGCCTGTTCCTAGAAAAAAAACAAGAAATTTCGCTTCCTGTAACTATGACCAAAGAGTCACAACAGTGCCGCAAATCGTCAGATCGTGAAACCCGTAACGCCGAAAGCCTGTGCCTGGTTAAAAAAATGAAAACAAAAATGAAAAAATACAAACAAAATGGCACTGAAAAAATCCCGTCAATAGTTCCAAAACAGTACCGTTTTTGGAACTATTAACAGACAGGATGGTCCTGTCAGCAGTGCAATATTTCTTAATTAGGCATCTTGTTTTTTAGGGCCCTTCTTGTTTTTTTTTCGCCCTCTCGCATTAGATTTAGGGTCTCCTAAGGACGTCATCCATAAAATTTACTTGGTGTGGCCTAAAATAGTTACGGTATAAATTTAAAACAAATAACGAGCATCAACAAGACCATACTAGCAGACAACGTACCAATCTACGTCTTCATGCAGCAAGGGAATCGCTAGCCTCTCTATATATAAATCATTGGGGTCTTTGGCATGTTATATGTGCTATTTTCTGATTGCATATAGACAACATAGCCGGCCTGGTTGAATTACCCCCGTTTTTTGCCTCCATAGCATGCCAAAAACTGGGGGTTTTGGTGGTCTTCAGGATCTTTTATGTGCTAATCAGAAAACAGGCGAAGACCACGGCACATGTTCCATGTAAGACATCACGAAAATAGCGCGGCGCGCATCCAGGCGCGCGGGGTTGTTCGCGCTCACTATCCGAACGTATTCGCCATGCCTGCCCGGTATCAGTGCGCCCAGTGCGTACGAGTGCACCCAGTGCGTACGAGCGCGCCCAGTGCGTACAAGTGCGCCCAGTGCGTACGAGTGCGTACCAGTGCGCCCAGTGCGTACCAGAGGCATCGAATGTGAACTATCACAAGAACACGCGTCGCTATAATCACGAAATCGCCAGGACACGTAACCAAACTTTCGGGGCCTTGTGAGCTCACAACCCGAACGTGTGCGATTTTCCTGTCCGGTACATGTGTGCCTACTCCGCGTAGTTGCTGTAGTTACTGTAGTTCCTGTAGTTGGGGTATCAGGTCTTGTCTTGGCGAGACTAGCGGGTGGGACCGTGTTTTTCACGGCCTGAGATCGCTTCTGTGCCGATAGGCACCTACAGTCCACCGCCTTGAGGAAAGGTATATTGTATAAAAGGCTTCTTACTACGCGTAGTTGCTGTAGTTCCTGTAGTTGCTGTAGTTGGAGTATCAGGTCTTGTCTTGGCGAGGCTAGCGGGCGAGACCGTCTTTTTTTCACGGCCAGAGATCGCTTCTGTGCCGATAGGCACCTAGCGTCCACCGCCTTGAGAAAAGGTATATTGTATGAAAGGCTTCTTACTACGCGTAGTTGCTGTAGTTGCTGTAGTTGGAGTATCAGGTCCTGTCTTGGCGAGGCTATTGGGCGGGACCGTCTTTTGTCACGGCCTGAGATCGCTTATTTGCCGATAGGCACCTAGAGTCCACCGCCTTGAGGAAAGGTATATTGTATGAAAGGCTTCTTACTACGCGTAGTTGCTGTAGTTCTTGTAGTTCGAGTATCAGGTCTTGTTTTGGCGAGGCTAGCGGGCGGGACCGTCTTTTATCACGGCCAGAGATCGCTTCTGTGCCGATAGGCACATAGAGTCCACCGCTTTGAGGAAAGGTATATTGTACGAAAGGCTTTCTTACTACGCGTAGTTGCTGTAGTTGTTGTAGTTACGTAGTTGGAGTATCTGAGGTCTTGTCTTGGCGAGGCAAGCGGGTGGGACAATCTTTTTTCACGGCCTGAGATCGCTTTTGTGCCGAAAGGCTACTAAGGTCTACCGCCTTGAGTAAAAGGTATATTATTTAAAAAGGCTTTCTTACTACGCGTAG